ATTATGTCTCTGGAGATGTAGAACTAAGTAAAGAGACATGTAGGAAGTTGTACTCAAGCGCTTAAGTACCTTAGTGTAAACTCCTTGAACCAGTAGACCATCACCAACCATGAAAGCTTCATCGTTGCTAAAAGTAGCTTCATCTTTCGGGAATTCCATCCATAACGGGCGTACAACAGGAACACCCGTAACATTTGCTTCTCTGAACAACGTGTAGAAGTATGGGAGCAGCGTATAACGAGTGTGTATGGCATCTCTCATGAGCTCTGTATTTCGTTCACTGAAGCAAGATAGCATTAATTTGATTCAAATGAGAGAGAGCAAAATTTATGAACCCGTAAATCAAAGGCAGAGAAACCTATAGAAAACCGTTGAAATGCGTACTTGATGTAACTAATGGGTTAACTATTGATAAAATCAACTGACTAGACACTATAGTGTAACACCAGGTTCTAATTTCCGCTATCTAATTCACTTGTCAATTGCATGATCCCTGCCTATCAGTCTGCTTAATAGAGTAATATCCTTTGTCAGTTTGTCATCTATCAAACAAATATATTTATAGACTAGACCTGGAACAATTATACTCATATACTACGTTTTGACAAGAGAAACATAAGTGCTGTACCACATCTTACCCAAACAACCAAGGCTCTCGTCTTTTGGTGTCATGATGAGCATGACCCCTGAAAAATGGATAGTAAGCACCCACTTGGTACCACCTAACTAATAATTCTGGTTCAGGATTTCCAAAGAACCCACCAATATCAGCTCCTGCAATGGAAAATAAAATTTCCATAAGGATTTGAGAATAAAAGAACTTTAGCAAAATTTGAACAAATAAAATGTCTTCTACCCGAGAATGTAATTCCAGTTAGACCAAGTGTCAATATCATTGGAATGGAGACTCTAAGGTGTTCCCATTCGGCTGTGTTATCACCAGTCCAAATTGCCCCATATCTTTGAGTGCCAGGAAAGATTGCTCTTGACAACACAAAAGGCCTATCCTTTCCTTCTCCACGCATAACAAGTCCATCGGAAGTCGCCATGTGAAAGTAATATCCATAAGCATTATGAACTTCCCTGTGTTCAACACCACCAACATGTAATGCATCTCTTGGCATAGTAACCTATCAAAAATGACAAGTTAGTCAGTATCATCTCAATGATTATATTTACATAAATGTTATATATGTAGGGAAAGAAAGATTTTTTTCTACATAAACCAAAATGGGTAAAGATAAGCAACCATAGATTACACTCCACTCTTCAAGAAGTCACAGAGACGAAGATCCAATGTTAAAACCAAATAAACACAAAATGAAGTACTTACTTTAGTAGTAAAATATATGATAAAGGGTGTCAGTTCGTGTAAAATTAGTGAATTATATGATACCCAATCAGAGTTCAAACTTATACATAATTTCACTATAGACAAACAAGGAACCAATAAGACAGGGAGTTATACCTCTGGACCATTGAATACGGAAGGTTCATTCATGTCATTCCATATGTATAATGATGGAGTTGAACCAACATAGTTCTTATACGAGAACCTTCCACCCCACCATTCTCTAATCTCTGGACTCAACATATCAATGTAAGATGATGAACCAGGCCAGCACCAACCATCAAAGTCTTTCCCAGATGAATCCTTAACATAGTATCCCATCTGAGTAGCCTCCTTATGTAAGAAGTATGAGTCATCTCTCTTGATATGAGGATCCACAATGGTCACCATCTTCCTACCCTTTGCAGCCAATTTCTTTTGCATCTCCTCTGGATGAGGAAACAACACACTATCCCATGTAAAGTATCTCTTCCCATCTGTATGCTCGATGTCAAGCCAGAGAACATCATAAGGAATATCATGCTCATCAAATTTCGAGTCCACTTGTGCCACATCCTCTTCATCTTTGTAGTTCCACCTACATTGGTGATAACCAATGGCAAACAACTGAGGCATGGCTGAAGTACCTGTCACACTTGCATACTGCTTTACAACATCCTTTGGCTCAGGCCCAACGAAAAAGAATGTATCCACGATCCCTGCCTCACTCATCCATAACGTGTCAATCCTACTCTGACTGGCAGGCAAAGAAATACCACTCTCCGCATCCCATCCATTAGCCAACACATCAATCTGCATTTCCGCAGCATTCAACCAGAAGAATCCAGCAGTTTTACCAGATTTCCCATGTGACACCATGAACGGAATCGACCCATAAAGCCCAAATGGTGATTCGTGATCGTATTCAAAAACATCTAGATTAAACAGCCTGTAGGGTTCAGATTCCTCAACTCCAGGACCCTTGGTAGGCTTCAAGGCGAAGCTCGTAGCGTGTTCAGGAATTCCATAAACAAAACTGGAATCATAAAACGAAACATCGAAGCTAATAGATTGAGGACCAGATGGTCTAGAATCTGTATGAGTCCTAAATTTCTCTTCCCAGTTATCTCCTTCAGTTTTCTTCCCCAACTGCTCAAAATCAAATAACCCATGAGAATTCAAAGACACAACGCGACGACGATCACCTGATTTCTCACGCACATACACTTCAAACGGATCGTGCCGCACAACCGCCTCGTAACCATCGGATACATAGACTACTGAAGACGGACTAGTGTCTCCAGAGATCGTCTCAGTTGCTACTTTCTGTAGCCAGATCTTCTTCTCTTCGAACTCAGACACTACCACATCAGGAACTCTGAATCTCTTCTTCGGCGGGTTCAGCGAATGGTCCTCATCGACTCTGAATCGCACGATCCCATCCCTATAAATCGAGAGAGATAGAACCAACGGATTGATCTGATCACCATCGCCTTGATTAGGGGTTTTCGGTAGTAGCTTCGCTACGAGATCTCCATCGGTGATGGAAACATCGCCGACGATTAGAGAACACGCGCCGGGAGCACGGGATCGAGCGCGTTTACAGAATGGAGTTTGGTCGCAGCTGCGAAACTCCTCCTTCTTCCATGAGAGAGCTGTTTGTGAGCTGAAGCAAATGAGTGATAGTATAAAGAGAAGAGATCTCATTTTGGTTCCTCGTTCATGGAAATCCTTAGATTGAGGAAGTAAGAAATGAGGAAAACACACACAAAACTGAGGAAGATGATCTTTCCGGGTCGGATCCGAATACCCGACCTGCTTATCAAAACTAAGGCCCTTAGGCCCAAATGTGGCCCAAATCCTGGTATGTATTGTTTTTAGATCTGTCTTCTTATAGGGAAAACCCTAATTTTGGAAATTGGAATCGTGAAAGAGGTTTTTCTGAAGGATGATGATGCCGGAGAAGACGATTATTACGTCGGAGAGTTCAAATTCGTCTCCGTTAAATCCCTCTTCTTCACGGATTATCTGCCATGTATGTAATAAGCAGTTCGCGCAGTACACTTGTCCTCGCTGCAACTTCCGCTACTGTTCCCTTACTTGTTACAAATCGCACAGTGTCCAATGTACGGAATCATTCATGAGAGAGAATGTTAACGATGAGTTGAGGCAAGTTCGATCTGATGATCAGACCAAAACGAAGATGCTCGAAATTTTGAAAAGGTTTCACGAAGAAGAAGAAGAAGAAGATGGGGGAATTGATAGTATCACGGATGATGAAGGTTCAGTCTTACCGGAGGAGATTATGCAGAGGATTATGAACGGAGATGAAGTCAGCCTAAATGATTTGAGCTTAGAAGAGAGAAAAGGGTTCCAGAGAGCTTTAGCTTCCGGAGAATTAAGCAAAATGATTGAGCCATGGGATCCTTGGTGGTTAGGTGCTTCAGCTCGAACGATCTCTCTTGGACGCGGAGGTACACAACTTGTTCAATCTGTTGAAGGCGAAGAAGATGAGGAAGAGGCCACAGTTGTGAGTGATATCCCACGAGGGCCTGATACACCTTTGATCTCCCTAAGCAAGCTTAGCTCCACGAATCCATCTCCTCTCTTGCCAATCCATTTGATTGACATTGTATACAGTTATTGTTTTACCCTCCGTATTTATAATGGAGAGTGGCAATCCGATTCGTTAGGTTCAGCAACAATGGTCTTGAGTGTTTCATCAGTTTTGGGTCAGAATGCACAACCTGAGACCATAAAGAAAGTGTTGGCTTTTTGCTTGGAACAGACATGCTCCTCGGCTTATAAAAACCTTGGTGGCGGTCTGAAGTTCGGATTGAGCCTGGTCGATGATGTGATTTGTTTGCTTTCTCTTGGCTCTGGAGCTATTGTATGCCTGCTCTGCGATCTCCAAAGGTTGATTCATGTTGCCATACAGGAAGTAAAATCATCATCAGGTCGTGATCTGAAAAAGAAACTAAAGCTTGCAGAGAGGAAAGTGTTCTTCATGATGTGTTGGGTCAATGAGCAGAGTTCTGAAGTATGGAAAGCTCTGGAATCATCTGTAAGGGCAGAGAAGAACTCGGTTGTTGAGCTCAATGATCACAACGGGGTTCCGAAAATGAAGAAAACAGATCAATTCCGAAAAAACGATGGTGTGGTGATTGAGGAGATAGAATGAGTTCTAATGTTATAGTTATAGTTTGATGATGTAATGTGTGTTAACAAATGGATATTATGAAAATCCTAAATCTTCATGATACCTAAGCGCCAAAAAAAGCAATGAAAGTTTGTGAACTCTAATGGCTTTCTAGTTTACCATCTCTATGTTACATTTATACGCCATGAATTTTCCTCTGTAATTGCATTCTTTAACACATTCGTCATTTTTAGTTTGTCCAAAAAAACACATTCGTCATTCAGGGTGTCCTTTCTAGTAATCCTAGGCCAATATCTTCTGATGTCTAAAACCATTTAACAATGCCATGCGTTTCCCAATACTGATCATATCAAGCCCAACCGGCTCACTTACCATACTGAATTACTGATCATCTCCTAAGATATATAGGGTCAGTAGTCAGCTCACCTCCACGGTGGTTTGGTCCAGCTTGTGTAATTGGTTCGCATACAAATTACGATTATGCAATTCACTACAGATAGCCAGCACTTATAACGAAGGTTAAAATACATATAGATCCCACTCGGTTTAGTCCCTAGAACTGTAGACATATAACATGATAAAAGTTCCAAAGAAACAGCGCTTAATAAATAATTGCAACAGACCAGCAGCTCCATACATTAGGTGTCTGTCTATTCTTCTTCTTGTTCTTTACTTACCGTAGCTTTGTGATCACCCGCACTGAGAAGTAAATTCAAGAGTCATGTGTTCTGGTATCCCATCCATGGTTTTCCTTATGATAGCTCTCAGATCAGCAGAGAAACCAGTTGAAGAATCACCTTTATACTTGTAACTTATGTAGAATATTGCATTCTCTGCGTGGAGCTTCTCACGCGCCTCAGTTGTGTAATCTTCTTTAGTTTCTACAACTACCTTGTCGATCTCCAGGGTTGGATAAGCCACCAATTGCTGGAGTCACATTGGCAAGCGTAAGAAGAGGAAAGAGGCAACAAGTAATAAAAAAACAAAAACAGATTAATATTTTCTGGCAGAGAATGATTGCAAGCAAATTCAACGACTTACAGGATTTGCTTCCAAGAATGCGATTTCCATGAATAGATGCAGCCAGTCATTCTCATGGAGCTCTGATTCTTTCACCTGTGATGCCAAAAAAATGCAATTACCTACCTTGCTTACATATCAGTGCTTCTCAAGACTATAAAAGAAGATTAAACTCCACTCTGGGACATGTTATATTACGTGGTAATACTTTTTGTTGTCACTGGTCAAGGCCTCATCAGACAACCATTTGGGCATTTTCGCTGGGTAGTATTGATCCATTGCCTCATCCCGGTCCCAATTATCATTCACAGCCTTGTTACCTTTAAAAGTAGAGTTAGTCCTCCTTCCTATCTAGTGATCTCTAAAGAAAGACAGTGATATAAGAAAATGTTACGTACATGTGGGTCTGCAGGCCAAGATCTGCCACGTATAGACATCTTCCATTGAACGTCCAAAACTACTGTACAAAGTCTGAAAAGAGATGACAGAGTTGCAGGCCGGATCCATTGCCTCCAAAGTTATGTAGTAGTCACAGTAAGAAGTGCACATGGTAGTAAACTTTACCCAGTGCACAAACTTTAAGTTTGTTCCCTGATAACCAAAATATGAACAAGTAGTCATATAAAAGGAAATTAGTGGAATCAATCAAGGCAGTGTTGATATATATAAAAAACGATCATGAGCAAGGAAGGATGAGAAACAAAGGAGATTGATTACACAAATTAAAGACATAAAAGAGAGAAAATGATAGAGTTACATTGTGAAGATTGTAGCAGTGGAGTCCAAGCCTAGCATAAAGGATGATATCATAATCAAAGGGCATTGGAGACTCAGTTATTCTAAACTTAGGGGAAGAAGCTCCAAAATCAAAACCCTGGAAAATCAAAATCAAATCCAAAATCCTGAGAGTAGAGTAGGATCCCTAAGACGACAAGGAAACCAAAGAGATCAAAAAAATCAATACACACAAACAAAACATGAGGAAGAGGATTTGCATACATAGGCCTGCGAAGCCCTTATTAACTTTTTCTTTCTCTTCAATTCCTTTCTTTCCCTTGCCGCATTTGCTCTTGCAATATCAAGCTTCCCGAATTCACTTACCACTTTTACCTCCTCCTCCTCCTCCTCCTCCATATCTAGCCAAACCCTAAATCTCTCAAAATATTAACTGTACTATGATTTTGATATCTATATATAAAGATGTTGATATATGGTATTATATCTAGTGTATATATACTATAAGAGAGATATGACTTTATTCCAGTTCTGATGTCACAATTATCCGATGTACGTAGTTTATAGCTTGATTATGAAAACTGTGTTAAGTTAATCAATGGAGAAATTTTTTTGTTTATCGTTTTCAAGTTGTAACAGAGAGAACTACAAACAAACAAAAAATTATCTTCCTATAATTTAGCATATGATGAATCCCACATCTTAAGTTTGCAGCTCACGTTTTGCATCATCTTCAACTTGTTGGCTCTTGCTTAGCTTACACCACCGAAACTTTCCTTTTAGAGAGCTTTATCTTCATGGGATTGCCGCCTTTCTCCTCGAAGATCACCAGCTCATTCCCGGAAGACTTAAACCATGATCGTGGTACATGATACCTAAGCCAACAAAACGATAATCAAATTTGAACAAAGAGAGATGTAAAATAACAAAGATGAGAACACTTAATTAATGGCTTTCTAGTTAGTTTACCATCTCTGAGATGGCTCTCCACATCCAGTTAGGCATTTATCCGGCATGAACTTGCCTCTGTAGTCGCATTCTTTAACGCATTCGTCGTTCGGGGAGTTCTTTCTAGCAATCCTGGGCCAATATCTTCCAATCTCTTCACCGTTTAACCATGCCATGCCTTTCCCCATACTGACCATATCAAGCCCAACCGGCTCACTCCCAGATGGTGGGTCTATCACAACCTACCAAAAGATCACTTTTTTATTGAGGAAGGCAGAACTTGGTCTTCTACAATCTTGGTTCTTGTTCAAGAAGTTACATTACCTTATACCAAGTCAAAGGCTGTTTCTTAGGAGGTTTCGTAGTCACTGTCCACTGAACTGCCCCAGAGTTGCCTGGCTTGAACAGTTCTAGATGCTCTCCTTGCACGCCGAGCTGCAAGATTTCATGGGATTGGTGTTGAGAAACTCGTCCAAAAGAGAGAATCACTAGGAGCACGTGAGAATTATATAACCTTGTAGGACCATTTGCTATTTGTCAGATTCAATGTGCCCTTGCTGAAACCTTTGATTGAGACACTAGTAAGCCCAGCTGCAACCCATTCATAAAAGGATCCTGCATTCTGTAGCAGAGGAAGTAACGAATGTATGAATCCGGATGATGAAGCAAAACTCCAATGATACATGGAACAAGATTATTCAAACTTTTGTGCTCATAGAATTACCGAAAGACCAACAGTCATGCTAAGCAAATCAATGTTGTTTTCGCCTGCTTTGAGAGAAACTGATTTCTTGAGTTTGAAAGGCACATGAGTCCCATTCCCTGTCGCAGTTCCTAGAAACCAGTTGTCACATTTATGCGCAATCAATTAGATATTCAAGTGCCAAGATATAACAATATGGCCACAGAGTGATAGAAAAGTACCTAAGTACTCTTTGTTGATGAAAACATGAAGAGTATGCCCCTTTGACTCTATAAACAGAACCGGGCGGTTACCCTTCTTCAGGAACTCTTCAGTATCACTGACTTTTATACTGCAGCAGATGAATACATTTGCTTCAGACTCTTTCTTGACAAATTCAATTAGTTTAGCAGTAACAATTTTCAGGGACTGACCTTGTTGTGTACCAAAGATAGTCAGTTGTGTCCTTTGTGGTGTTGATGTGGTCAACAAGTTCATTTTTCACAAAATCTGCTTCTCCCCAAATACCCGGTTTCTCCGAAAACACTTCCCATTTAAGACCTGATGTAGATTTCAAATCTTCAGGTAACATTTCAACCTTGGAGGACTTCGAAGTTACCTGTTGCAAATTGTAAATTCAGCCTTTTGCCAAGTTCTGTTTTCTTTATGTCATTGTCCACACCAGACCACCAGTTATTGTTACCTTTGCTGTGTTGTAAACCTCGTTCTTGCAGTCAGGTAGAATGCTAACTGACCAAGCAGGCAAGTGGTATGACGTGTTTCGAAACATCACCGTCTTGTCACTTTTATCATCCAAGTTTGACAGAAACGCAGCACAAGTTCCCAAAGAGTCTGTGTACACATCAGCCTGAAATTTGAAAACAAACCATCAGAAAGAACATTCTAACAGAAACAGAAGTCTTTCGCGGGGGTTTAAAAACAATAAAAGTACCTCTAGTGAATGGCCTAAAGTAAAATTTTGATGCTCGCCACTGATCAGCAAGTTTTCAGAGAGCATTATAGCTTTGTGGAGATTCTTCAGGTGTCCCCATTTTGGTAATCTAGGCAATCCTGATAAACGTACAGCACAAAAACATTAGTTATAAACGTTAAAGAGTTATCTCACTACATAGTGATCTTCTTTGTTACAAACTCACCATACTCATCGATTGGAGCTTCATAGTCATAGCTCGTAGTGATAAAAGGTCCTCCTGAAGTACGTCCAAAATTTGTTCCTCCGTGATACTACACCAAATTGCAGACAATACATACAACCAAAATCCATTTAGATTACAAACTGATACAGAGCTAACTAACTTCCTTCCTCGTATTGAAGAAACTAAGAAATATTACCATGTAGTAGTTGTGAACACTTCCACCTTTCCCGAAAAACCGAGCAACAGAGTAAGCTACATCCTCTGCTGGTCTGTGAGGGTCTCTGCCTCCAAAAGTTTTAAACCTGGAAGAAAAGAATAACTCTTTTAAGACCGTGAAAATCAGTGTCATTTGCTAATGAACAAGAAGCTCCAAAAGACTCCAAATGTATGAAACTGAGTTCAAGGAAATGTTAGTGGAACCAAAGATCAATCTACTTACCATCCAGGCCAGTTCTCAGTCCAAATCTTGGGTTTATCTGGCGTATTAGGTGTGAATTGGTCACAGTAAAAGCCATTGCAGGTACTAATCTGCAAAAGAAAATTAAAGAAATCCATCATAATCTAGCACAAGTTGAAAGTTTTTTCACTTGTGTGCCAGAAAGTATCAGCTAACATGTCGATACAAGAAAGTATGGAATAAATAAAAAAGATGAAGGTTTGTATAGATCTTGTGTTTCAGATTCGATATAGACTTACCACAGTTGGAGGAGCATCCCATTGCTGGCACATCATCCATGGGACACCAATGTTCTGTGAAACAGCCATAGAAGCAGACCATTGAGCATACCTTTTCCCTCCTTCTCCGTAGTCTTTCTCATAATACCCGTACTCGTTTTCCACCTAATGAATCACATTATTAAGGAAAACATTCTAAAAGGAACAAATTAAAAGATGCTGAAGTTTTATATGTTTTCGTTTGTCTTACCTGAGACAAGATTATTGGACCACCCTGTGGTGCAAAAAGCTTCTCTTTTTTCAATAGGTTCACTATGTAAGTCGTGAAACTCTCCATGTAATGCTGAAACGAAAAAACCATAGAGCAAAGGATTATAAGTAACAGAGAAAAAAAAACAAATTCCTCAATATTATCCTTTCTAACCTTCCATGGCTCATTATCCGCCCTGAAGACTGTTCCTGGCACGTAATGCAGCCAAACCGGGACACCCCTATAACCTCAAGATTCAGTAACAAAAAACTACAAAAAGAGACACTATAAATTGACAAAAGAGGGATTGTATTAGTATAATAGAGAGCATCACCCATAATTCCACTCGGCAGCAACAAAAGGACCAATTCGCAGAATCATATGCATTCCAGCTTGCTGAACAATCTTGATGAACTTCACTAGATTGTAGCGGCCACCAAAATAATACTAGAGACCAACAACAACAAAATTATTGATGATGGACTATATAACTCCAAACAAACATCTGAGAGATAAATCAATAGAGTGATAACTGAAAACACATGACCAACCTTTCCAGGAGATGGCTCATGGCCATTCCAAAACACATAAGACTCGATTGCGTTGCAGCCTCCTTCTTTTGCTGTTTGAACAAGTGATGGCCACATCTGCGAGAAAATCAATATAATCCTCAAGAAGATCCTTCAATAGAAACATTTTTCCAAATTCACCAGATTCACAACCAAAGCCACATAACCCATAAAACTAGGAAAACACATTCCGAAATGGAAGAAATTCAAATATCCTAAAAATCATTTCCCCTCCCTGGTTTTTAAATGTCTTTCAGAGACTGATTCCAGAATCTCCCGCTGAAATTTTGTAACTAGACCCTCACAAGCTCGAAAGTTTGTTGATTCAGTGTGAGCAGAGAGCAGAAATCCAAATAAAGTTTCAAACTTTAGCATTCACAAAGCAGAAAAATCAAAGAAAGGAGAAAGACAAAAAGGAAGAAGAAGAAGAAGTCACTAACAGCTGGAACGCTTCTGGGGTAGTGAATGGCGGCGGAGATAATGAGCTGACGGCGATTGCCGATGGAGAGAGAACGGTGGTCGTAGGTCACATTGGCAGCCTCAATAGCTCTCAAGGACCAGAGAAACACCATTGCCAACAGAATCGCGGACGAAGCAATGCTTTCAGTAAGCCGCTTCATTTTCTTTAGATCCTCCTCTTCGTCGTCGTCTTCGCTTGAGTGTGTGTTCTTGTCTATTAAAGATTTAAGACTAAGACCCCCTTTTTACAATTAGGAGGGAAAACAAGATTTATCCTTTCCAGAAATATTTTTCTTGGTTTGTGTGTGAGTGAGAGAGAGAGAGAGTGAGTGTGACCAAATCACACTCTTCAGTGTTGTGGATTTTTCATTGTTTTTTTTTTTAATTTTTATAATAAGATTGGCTCTTATTAGTACTAAACATTTATAGGAAACTTTGGTACTAGAGGTACACAAATACGCATCAAGTATGCATTTGAAGCTAATTTTGTTATTACATTAGTTGTTGTTACTTAATACTAGTTAATTTATGCTAAAGGCATGGTCCCTAATCTTTCGAAATGTAGTATTTTATTAGCTACCGGTAATTCACATGATCTAGGTCGAATTGGATGTTAGTCATGGACCATGATCCATCAGTCCATCATATATATATATATATATATATATTAGATTA